GCGTATGATTAACGAGAGTTTGACTAAACGGAACATGAATGATCTTGAAATACAAGCTGTGATTTGTGAATTTTGCCTCAGCATCTCTGTAACTTTGATCTGCCACTTCATGATAACTTTCTGTGGTTGCATTTTAAAAAATCACCTCATACAGGAATATCTATTTGGGAAGATACTTCACACACATGTTCTACTTACTGGTTCTTTGGGTCTCGCACTGTACTGGTAAAACAATGTGTTTAAAACATCAAAAGCTGTAACAGCAGCTTGCTCCAGTCTAGTGAAAGTGGTAAATGGACTGATTCTTATATAGCGCTTTTCTACTCTCCTGGCGTACTCAAAGCACTCTATAACTTGCCACACTCACCCAATCACACCAGCCCTTTCTTTAACCTGAGTGCTTTCTAACGATATTCACACACATTCATACTCCAGTGGATGTATCGGAGAGCAACTTGGGGTTAGTATCTTGCCAAGGGATACTTGACACACAGATTGGAGGAGCCAGGGATCGAACCACCAACCTTCCGATCAGTAGGTGACCTGCTTTATGTCCTGAGCTACAGAAAGTGAAAGTTAGAGACTGTATAGTGAAATACATTTAATGTAGGTTGCCTATATACAATGTATAGTGACCTGAAACATCATATTCGATGTGTACCCAAATATTGAGAATATGGGGCTTTTTTGCCTTGTTCTCGCCACCAGATGAGATCAAGTTGTATTGAAAATGGCATTTGCTGTTTGCTGCCAAACAAGTTAACTGTGTGGGGAGGAGAAATTAGGGGAGACAGATGCTCACATCTCAGAAACTCATTAAAATGAATGAAAGGCATTAGACTGGGGCAAATGTTTTTATCTGTAGCCAGTGGGAATTTGAAAATTGATTGAACATGGTCAGGGAATGGGAGGTTCTAAGGAAGATTATTGGCATGTTATGCCTGTGACAGACACCTCAATGCTGGCTTTGCTGACAGTAGAAATTAAATTGTCTTTTGAAGATATTACGCCCCTCATTGCCTTTTCTTACAAAGAAATAAATGGAACAACTTAATAATGCTCCCTAAAAAGATGAAGATGTTGTATACTGTATTTCAGCACTTCACAGGACATGTGGCTTGGAGAAAAGATACATGAGGATGAATAATAAAAAATAACTTCAGTAGTTTTTCCCTGTATCCCTTTGGCTTTTACCTATCACATCACTGCTGACTCTGTTGAACCACACAGCACATGTCCATGTGAGATTTAGAGCTGCTCTCAGTTACTTGTGTTACTTTTGACTAATGCTCAGTGATCCTGAGTACCTTCCGTTGTCTCTGTTGTCATCTTATGATGGTACAGTATCATGGTTTTTTTTCTAGCACTGATGGGATTTATGAACATTTACCTATGCAATTTTACTCTAAAGTCACTGAGTATGGCCACATTTTTCTTTTACAAATGCACATGCTACACACAACTCAGACAAATCTGCAAAGGACTGTTGTGATGTGGGGGTTGATCCACTCATTAACATTGCAAATGAAAGTGAATCTAGTCTAAATATAGTATTTCATAAACAAATATAGGTTACTGGGACACAAGAAACTGTCTCGTCTTTAGTCCCATGGGGGTTGTATTCTCAACCTCAAGGAGCTTTAGAAGAGTAAGCACAGATTTCTTAAAAAAAAATGCTGGCTTTGTTGTCAAGCTCAGAAGCCATCATATGCAGATTTGTGGAGGTGGGCTATGCATCCTTTGTGGTTCAACCAGTACATCTTATGTACATTTGTGGATGTTCAAATGGTGCTCCTCAATTTCCACTTTTGATCACTTTACTTCATAAAATATACATTTATATATATATATATATATATATAATATATAATATACCTTTGCCTTTTTTTTTATAATGTTCAGGCATAAGTGATCATGTCTGCACCACACACTCTTAACCTTTTTCCACTACTACGTACTTGCCTTAACTCAGATTTGCTCCATTACAATCAAGTACCACTTAACGTGCGTGTTGTTATAGCAAATCGGCCGAAAGTCCTGTGCCGTCATTTGTATGCAAGATGAATGCCACAACAAAGGAGCATGTGCCTCATTCTGGGACTACAGGGAGTGCAGAATTATTAGGCAAATGAGTATTTTGTCCGCATCATCCTCTTCATGCATGTTGTCTTACTCCAAGCTGTATAGGCTCGAAAGCCTACTACCAATTAAGCATATTAGGTGATCAAAGGAGCTTGCAAAGAAAAGCGTCTGGACTTCTTTAAGTTGCTTGAAGACGTTTCACCTCTCATCCGAGAAGCTTCTTCAGTGTGCATCTCTGTAATGAGAAGGGGTGTGGTCTAATGACATCAACACCCTATATCAGGTGTGCATAATTATTAGGCAACGTCCTTTCCTTTGGCAAAATGGGTCAAAAGAAGGACTTGACAGGCTCAGAAAAGTCAAAAATAGTGAGATATCTTGCAGAGGGATGCAGCAGTCTCAAAATTGCAAAGCTTCTGAAGCGTGATCATCGAACAATCAAGCGTTTCATTCAAAATAGTCAACAGGGTCGCAAGAAGCGTGTGGAAAAACCAAGGCGCAAAATAACTGCCCATGAACTGAGAAAAGTCAAGCGTGCAGCTGCCAAGATGCCACTTGCCACCAGTTTGGCCATATTTCAGAGCTGCAACATCACTGGAGTGCCCAAAAGCACAAGGTGTGCAATACTCAGAGACATGGCCAAGGTAAGAAAGGCTGAAAGACGACCACCACTGAACAAGACACACAAGCTGAAACGTCAAGACTGGGCCAAGAAATATCTCAAGACTGATTTTTCTAAGGTTTTATGGACTGATGAAATGAGAGTGAGTCTTGATGGGCCAGATGGATGGGCCCGTGGCTGGATTGGTAAAGGGCAGAGAGCTCCAGTCCGACTCAGACGCCAGCAAGGTGGAGGTGGAGTACTGGTTTGGGCTGGTATCATCAAAGATGAGCTTGTGGGGCCTTTTCGGGTTGAGGATGGAGTCAAGCTCAACTCCCAGTCCTACTGCCAGTTTCTGGAAGACACCTTCTTCAAGCAGTGGTACAGGAAGAAGTCTGCATCCTTCAAGAAAAACATGATTTTCATGCAGGACAATGCTCCATCACACGCGTCCAAGTACTCCACAGCGTGGCTGGCAAGAAAGGGTATAAAAGAAGAAAAACTAATGACATGGCCTCCTTGTTCACCTGATCTGAACCCCATTGAGAACCTGTGGTCCATCATCAAATGTGAGATTTACAAGGAGGGAAAACAGTACACCTCTCTGAACAGTGTCTGGGAGGCTGTGGTTGCTGCTGCACGCAATGTTGATGGTGAACAGATCAAAACACTGACAGAATCCATGGATGGCAGGCTTTTGAGTGTCCTTGCAAAGAAAGGTGGCTATATTGGTCGCTGATTTGTTTTTGTTTTGTTTTTGAATGTCAGAAATGTATATTTGTGAATGTGGAGATGTTATATTGGTTTCACTGGTAAAAATAAATGATTGAAATGGGTATATATTTGTTTTTTGTTAAGTTGCCTAATAATTATGCACAGTGATAGTCACCTGCACACACAGATATCCCCCTAAAATATCTAAAACTAAAAACAAACTAAAAACTACTTCCAAAAACATTCAGCTTTGATATTTATGGGTTTTTTGGATTCATTGAGAACATGGTTGTTGTTCAATAATAAAATTATTCCTCAAAAATACAACTTGCCTAATAATTCTGCACTCCCTGTATTGTATTGCTTTTTGTGCAGGCACTTCCTTCGTTACCGGGTTTCAAAAATGCCGATTTTGATTTTCGTCAAGGAGGCATTGTCGTGACTCATCAAGTGACACCACTGACTAACCAATCGGTGGCATACGGTCTGCTGACATCACATTTCCCAAGACCCTGGCCAAGCAAGTACTAAAAAAGTACTTGGTACCAGGTACTACCACCTAACCCTAATGCTAAAAACTGAACACGTACTAGTGGAAAAGAGCTTTTTATGTGCACATACAAAACTGTGCACTCTGTTTTAACTGATTGATATAAACATTTTTTTTCCTTGCAAGTGTCCATTTTCATTTACAATGGAATATGCTAATGGAAAACTAACACGATCTAATCAAACTATGATGTTGGATTTTTTGGTGAAATTAGTTTCCAGTCAAAAACAATGCAAATGAAATATAAGAGAAATAAAAATAGTATTTAACAGCTGTCCTTGTACACTGGACAATGCCATGGAATCAGTTTGGTTCAGTGGCCGTGCTTAACATGACAGTAAAATGTAAACTTGCATTTTGATTCTTCAGTGAGATTATATTACTTGAGATTTTGTCTATAAAGAATAAAAGTGACCTACATAAAAAATGACCTTTAATAAAGTCCATGAAAGCACAAAAAACTAAAGACTGATTGCCACAGAGATGGTTAGAGACATTCACAAATACACTGTAAAAAGAATAACCCTATTCAAATTTTAAAAAATGATGTCCAATTGTCACATCCAAAATATTTGACTTCATAGAATCCAAATTGAGTCACTTGATATGACCTGATACTTTTATGTTGATATAAACAATATTACTAGTCTTGACTGAAACTTTAAATTTTGCATTGATCCAAATTGATTTTTTTACATAGAACCATATTTTAATTATTGAACCAAGCTAATATATTGAAATTTAACCAACCTAATGTATTCACATCGAACCAAATTAACATGAACTAATATGTTTGTGTTGAAGCCAGGTAATTGATTTACATATATTCAAACTATATTTTTTACATTTCATTTTATTTCAGTTCAAAAATGCTCTGCATTTCCTATAAAAAACAAGACAGTTGGCCAACCAATTATTTCAAAATTATTTATTGTTCCAAACCATTTTAACTATAATCAATAGAGAGGATTAGTAATATACAGATTTAGTGCTACGGCAGAAATGATTAGAGAAATGTTTGTTTTATAAAACCTGCAATCTTTTGAAAACCAGTATAAAACCTGCAATCTTTTGAAAACCAGTATAAAACCTGCAACCTGTCTAAAACTGGCATAAAACCATTATAAAAACTCTTTTTAAACCAATTTGCAAGTACTCAAAAATGTTTATATGTGCACTGTGCCTGTACAATGTAAAAAAAAAAAAAAAAAATCTACACATGTATCAATGAAATCAACTTAAATCTCCCTTTCAAATGGGTGTTCTTATAAATTTTGAATGTAGAATACCACTGCAGGCCAACCAAGCAAAATAACCAAGCACACATGCACATGCATGTGCACATACACATGCACACATGCATGCAAACACACTACTGTGCAGTGTTAAGTTCACAATTAAGTTTGCGAATCTTAGAGGTCATCTTGTTAAAGTCAAGCTCCATCATAATCTTTTGAAGAGCCTCAAAGGTGAACCTGAATCCTCGTGGATATTCCATATTAAGAGCATAACAGAGTCCAAAGACCATTGCCACTCCAGCTGCCACAGAAGGCAACTCATTCAGGACTTCCACACCATCAATGATTATCCCGATGTCTCGAGGCTGATGTAGGAGGCTTGAGTTGTCCCTGAAGACGAAGAGTGCCATGGTGGTACTCTGCAGCTCTTCCTCAGCTTCATCTTTCTGGGATATCTTGAGGTAAAATATGGAACAAAATGTACATTAATCACTGCATTTAATAGCAGAGTTGTCAAATTTACATCAAGAGACTGCGTCTCATGTAGAGACAGAACAGATATGGACATACCATGTATTCTTTTATCAAGTCCTCAACACGTTCTCCAAGGTAGATAATGAGAGATTTAAGTATACACTCCCTCCTAATGTCAGCATCAGCATCCTGCAGGAACAGTTAAAATTGTTACTATGCAATATGGAGAGTATGCTGCGTGAGAGGAATTTTTTTTCACCTCTCTATCCTCATGAGGTGACTAATGCCCCTTTTCCACCGACAAATCGGCACGGTGCGCTTGAGAGCAGTTCAGTTTAGTGCGGATGAACTCGTTTGTTGCGGTGGAAACATAAAGCGGACGTAACTGGGAACAGGGACGAACCCATCTGACTATGAAAAGTCGCGCGCAAAAGTCTTTGTCCACAACGTCACAGCCCGAAGAACAACAACAATCGCAATATATGTGTGTTTTTGTACTTTGCTCTGTCTGTGGTTCATTTTGATTGGTTTGATTTTTGGTTCTTGTGGAGGAAGTCGCCATGGTCCAAAGTCAATGGAGTATGGTTGCTGGGAGTTTTTTTTAAAGCCTTTTGTGGGAGTGCTTCTATATCACATCACGTGGGCACCACACATACCCGGGCCAATCAGGTGTAAAGGCGGTGGAAAAGCGTCTGCAGGGAGCTAAAGTGAACTGAGCCACACCGTGTTCTGTCGGTGGAAAAGCGGCATATGCTTTCTTGTCCCTAAATAAAAGTTTATACGTATATATGTATGTATGTGTATCTGGCGAGTGAGAGTGAAAATGTGTCTCCGAAATAAATTTTGTTATAGTTGTGCTCTGTACTTTTATAATGACCATAAATCTCTTCATTCATTCAAGGACAAAGCCCACACTTCCTTTCAACATTTTAAAAGGTCACAGCCATAATCACTGACGTTACCAAAATAAAACTGTAACAGGATACAAATTCTCATTAGATACAGGGGTTAAAATGCTAACTGTCATGTTAATAGTTAATTATATACACCCTACCTGATCAAGAAACTCTAGGATTATGGCAGTTTTTGCTTTGGTTGTCCCTCCTTTCTTTCTGATTATTTCAAGTAGCTGTGGGGAGTGCTTGTCCAGCTGGGCCATGAATCTGGTTAGCAGGGGAACTGCAGTAACCCGCAGAAACTCTGCATTAATCTGTACATGAGTGGACAGTGTACAATACATTTTTTTAAAGACCAACTTCCAACAAGAAAAAGTCAAAACATATATGTCCCATTTCCAAACTATGATAAAAGGCATTAGTACAAAAAAGTTAAAGTTAGACCTCTTCCATCTGAAATAGACCTGGCCATCTTTCCAAGAGGTTCTTGATGTCGGGCTTCTTATCCACAACCTCTTTCCTCCTGAATTCGAAGGTCCTGGCCATCTTCTCTCGTACAGTTTTCTCATTGTTTCTCTTCTTTAATTCGGTCAGGAGAGATATTCGCTCTAGTTCTAGGCTTTCTGGATTCTCACTGCTGGTCTGAGGATAGTAATTGGCCTCACCTCTTCTTGCCTTTTTGTTGTTCTTGGCTGGCTTGGGAACAGGATCTTCTCGTGACTTTGATTTGAGGGTATTTACTAAGAGCTCAGATGCAAGTCCATGTGACTTAAGCTGAGTGCGGTAATTGCTCATCTTAGTCTTTAGTCTGAGTTTCCATCCGTAGCTCTCATTGAAGGGGTCTGGTTGCCTCAAGCAGGGATGTTTCCTTGTCAGACCTTCCGCAACGTCACTCAGGTCTGCATCACTGGGGTACGCCTTGTAGGAGAAAATCTTCTCTGCCAGTCTTTCCAGAATGTTGGACAACATTTTCGATGTAGGTGTGAGCCTGGTTTGGTCCTTTGTGTATTCCGCATTCCCTTTCTCAAGTTGACCTTCTGTTTCAAAAGAGAATTGTGGGATGTTGAACTCCTTTGGCCAGGGCTCTGTGCGGAGTTTCTCAGAGGAGCTGCTGCTTAGTATGACTGTGTCATCAGTGTGTGTTGAGATGGAGCTTGTATCTAGGTCACTTTCTACAAATTCTAAAATTAATGTTTCAGTAGCAGACGGTATGACCTTGATGGTGGTAAGATCCTTGATCATGGAGGTTGAGTTCAAGTTCACAAATGTTCCACCAAAGTCTACATCTTTATATTGCAGCCTGATACCTCCAGCAACTTTGCATGACTCTTTAACTTGTTCAATGAGCTCTTCAACTGTGTCTGGCACCCTTGATAGATCCATCCTCTCAGAGCTATTGTCACTCAACAAAATGAGGAGTCGTATGGGATTTGCCATATTTGTGGATCAAGTTGCCTCTCAGCGCTAGAGCACACAAAACTTACAACATAAAATAACACAAAGGAAAGAGACACAACACAGTATCAGCTCCCACTGCAGGTTTTTGAACATATGTTATAAGGGTACTGTCACAGAAGACTGCAAATTTGGATTGCATGTTTAATGTGTACAACCACACCTTATCCTATACAAAGGACATTTTCCAAAGCCAAAAGTGGTCCAGTTATGTCATTGACTTTTCCAGCCTGTATTGCACAGAAGATAAAGTGTGCTCTAAGTCCAACGTTGACTTTTTTGTGGACCAGGGCCCTGTTTCAGAAAGCCGGTTTAGTGCAAACTCTGAGTAAGTATACCCTGAGTTAACGAAAACTCTGGGTTTTTGGTTTCACAAAGCGAGTTTAGATTAATCCTGAGTGAGTGACTATGACGACACACTCCGTGAAGCTAACCTGCCCCCTAACATTTTATTTCAACTGTTACAGTTGCACTGAAAATGTCTCCTGCACTCGTCTGTGGTGTTCCCCGGTCATAGACCCACAAGATTTATCAAAGAGGGATTCCACAAAATTGCAGGTAGTAGGATGAACAAAACTTAATTCATGATGTGGCGATACTTGAACTACTACTTAAATTTTACATTTAATCAGGGCTTTATGTATCCTCGTGCGCGCGCTTAACTTGGGGTTAAAGTAACTCCGCGTTGATTGAACTAATTGTTATCAGCCTTTCTGAAACCGAATATTCCGAGTTGGACAGTTCGGGGTTACTCAACCCTGAGTATCGTTTTTCACTCTGAGTTTTCTAAACCAGCTTCCTGAAATAGGGCCCTGCTCTTCCATGGAGACCAGAGGAGGCAAGAGAAGACCAGGTTAGGAATAAATGTTACAAGTCACAACTGTCATTCTTACCTGTGCGTGTTGAAGGGTTGATGTAGACTATGCACAAACTACTTATGTTGCGCAGGAATTTAATGTCAAAACACGTCCTGGATGTCTATAGAAAAGGAGCAAGGGAGGGAGGAGGCATTAGTTCCCATTTACAATCTCCTTGTGTTGGCATAAAGATGATCAGGTTAAAATTGTAAGTGCTATGTCAATGCAGACCTTAAACTTGAATATATCTCTTTAAGGTAATCAAACGCATTCCTCCTACAGTATAATCCACCAATGGATATGGATCTGTCAGTTCATCTGGACCCAAAAGCAAAATGTCCTTGTTGGGGCTCACTTGAAGTTCAAAGGCCCTGAAATGCTCCCAATGCCACGCCCTCAGCTTGCGAACAATGAAAAACAGCTTGTCCTTCAGAACCAACATGTGGATGATTTCAGTGAATTTAGGGATCCCAGCCAAAGATCCATATGCAAGGATCATTTCAGTTCTGTAGTTGAATCCATTGTAAGTGATATTCTTTGCCAGACACACATGGTCCACTGTTGGGTGTTTCAACCGTATTGCTTGTGCAATCTCCTCTTTCAACACATCAATAGAAAGAGTTGAAACATTTGATACTTCCAGGAGAGGTTTGTTAGGGTACATCAATATCTGCTGTGCCATGTGAAATTGGTGTCGTTCTGCCAAAGATAACAGCACATTCTTGAAAGATTTTGTGTATCGAACAACTCTTTTAAAAAAACTGTGCTTGGCTTCGAATCTCAAAGTCCACAGACAGCGTAATGGTCCAAACTGACGAATAAGCTGAGGATAATGCTCCAAGAAATGGTGCTTAGGCAGCAAGTTGTAGTCTGGGAAAACCTCTTTGAGTCGCACTCTGTGCTCAGAGATCTTGAAATTCAAATATGCAATTGACTCCTCTGTATGAACAGGTGAGACAATTATATCCACAATATCCTTTAGATCTGTCAATATTTTCCATGCAGGTTCATCAGCAGGCACCTTCTGGCCAACAAGGAGGGGGAAAAACCTTAACAGACTCCAATTTTCGTGTGAATTGCCACCTATTGTCTTTCGAGATACAAAGTTCAATGGCACTGGATGGGGACGATTTACTTTGTCAGTCCACTTAAAGGGGAAATTCAGTATACAGTCATTTAAATATGCATGTGTAAAATATTTCTTAGACATGAAGATGGAAAGACATAGAGCTATCTCTGCAGGAACAATCCCTTCAAATAGATCATGGACCAGATGTGGGGGGAAACCAGTAGTTACTTTGAAATGACTTAGTTTCTCAGCAAGGACACATCTCTTCTTTACACCACAGAAATTGTCCAGAGATTTTTCCTCTATGATTTTAAGATGATCAGAATGAATCTCTTCTGTTCTTGAAATAAAAATGCCACTATCTAATGCCTTGGTTTGAATTTCTGATCTTGAAGCTGTACAAAATCGGCACAGATGACCACTTGAAAAATTTTCAACAAATCCAGCGATGCCGTGGGCTCCAAGGTTATCAGCTATTATGCACTGTACTGTTCCCTTAACAAATTTCCCTAACTTTGGCAAAAACACACCGTGGTTTTCCAAGGAAATTAAATCACTAATGAGAGGCTCAAGCACTGCTTCATAGCCATACACCTTCAAATCATCACTTCTGACCAGCAGAGCCAAGTGTATCGATGACAGTGAAGATTGACAACCAAGGGACAGATTAGCTAAGGTCCAATAGAGGGCACAGATTTTATGTTTTCTTCGTGATGTCCCAATTGGATTACATATTTCAAAATCATCGATGTAGAGATTTATTGAAATTGCACAGTCTTGAGACAGAAGTTTGTTGTTTCGGAAAAATTCCCCATCAAAGGGACAACTATAAACTGCTTTATCACTCAGATGAGACTCATATCTCTCCTTCAAATTGGCAGTCTTTAACAAAATAGTATCTGAACTTAGAAGCTGCTGCAATGTTTTCAGCACAGATACATATTGTAGTGATTTTTGTTTTCTTTTATCAAGAATATATTCCACTGGTGACACTACACCAAATTCTCTTTTATAATATGATTTGCGCTTCCAAGAAGTAGACAATGGACCTTGTTTCACTATTGCTTTTTGAATTGGGTTTGAAGAACAAAGTGCAGTGGCTAGCTCTTCAACCACAGATGCTTCCACATGACAGTTATTATCTCTCAAAAACTGACTAATTGTGTTTTGACTAACTCGCACAGAGACAGTTCCTATAAGATGTAGCTCCTCAAGCAATTCATTCACAGCTGTACTGGAAACTAAGTATGTTTGTTCCAATTTAAGTAAAAGTGAAGCTAATTTCAGTTCAACTTCCTTTTCAAAATCTCTTGAGTCTGTGATGGTTGGCTCATCCAATTCAGAGTTCAACGAGTCTGTAGGATAGCAGCTGATAGATGATGTGACAAATATTCCACTTTTTAAGTCTTTAACAGTGCATGAATTATGTTTTCTCCATTTATGGGTCTTGAAACTGCCATATATATTGCTTTTGTATGAGCAACCATTAAACATACAAGAGACAAGTTCATTTCTTTTTAAATGTTGATTGATATGTTGAAAAAAATCATACTCTGTGGAAAGCTGATTGTGGTCACAAATGTAGCACTTGAATGAAGAGGCTTTTTGTGTGGACTCCTGAGAAAGATGGTTCCTAGCTAGATGTTTTTGTAGACCGTTCCATGTACTGGATGAACAGGGGCAATTTTCATGGATGCATGGGTAAGGACGGTGCCTGCCATGAAACCGATGATCAAGTCGATAATGTTGTAGTAGCTCAGATTTTCCTGAAAATGACAGGCTGCAGTCCTTGCATTTCCACATCCGATAACTGAGGAAACAAAGGGAATATATTAAATTCCCAAACAGGTAATGTTTGTATTGGTTCGATATATAGAATTCCAAAAATGAATTTGTCCATCTGCTGCAATGACAATTTATTTGACCACCCCTTTCCATCAGTATGAGAATGAGAAAATAATGGAGGGCTTTTCCTTTTTGTGTTGAGAGTAATTCCGCCCCCCCCCCAGATTACATCCCTAGTCAAACTCTGTTTGAAGAAATGCCTCAGAAGGGGGCGGTGCCTGATGGATCAGCATTCATGTGGGTGGCAGGCTGAGCTGTGATTGACACGTCGCACTACTTAAACAGCAATTCACCCTCAAAACAGCTTTTTTCTGCTTATAAACTGTATTAGTGAGTCTTTACCTATGCAACCTTTCAGTTATTGGGCATTTCTTTTACAATTTCATGTAAACTTGTTAAATTCTACACTTTTTGGTCTAAAAATGTCTTAGTGCTGCCCTCTTAGGGTTGAAAGGTGGCTATTGCATTTGAATTTTGTGATTGGCTGAAAGCAGTTCATGCCTACGTCAGCGGTACATGCCAGTCACCAGCATCGTCTCTAAGACACATTCGCAACCTTGGGGTCCCAACCCCAATTGGGGTCGCGAGATAATTCTTGGGGTCGCCAAATCATTTTGGAAAAATATAAATGAATGTAGCTTCCGAATGAATGACAAGTGGTTGGTCTCAAACAGGTATTTTATTACTCAAAGCCAGTTACTGGGGGGGGTTTAGCTCTGAATAAACAGATGAACAGAAGCGCTTTTGGACCGTTGTGGAGAAATATGCATCTGGTATGAACAGCGGAGCAGCTGACAGTGTATGATTTTCCTAAGCACACCACTTCGAAGTGTTCCTGTGGCCAATGTAAACCATGTGTAAGAGTTAGACCAAAAAGGGTAGAATTTAACAAGTTTACACAGAAATGTCAAAAACTGCCCAAAACTGGAAGATTGCATTGTAAAAACCCATTATAACAGTTTCTAAGCAAAACAAGTTGTTAGGCTTCAGTTACTCTTTAAGTAGTTACACTCCAAAATAACAGGACACAACCAAAATGAAATGTTCCCTTTGCCCTCCATAGAAAATGTTGCTGCATTTATAACTGGACAGAGGAAATTAGTGGACAAGTATCTCTTACTAACTCACACAATGGATGTAACTAATGCAATAGCAATATTACTTACTACTACAAAAGTGATTTTCAGAGTGCTTTTCAATTACAAAGACTAGAAAAGGGGAAATGGGGCACATCTCCCTACACAACCAGCACTGAGCACACACTTGGGTGAAGCCGAGAGAGCAATTATTGCACACAATAGTGCCAACACATCAGCAAGGTGAATGAGAGGATAATGAGGGAGGGTCTAGATTATTATGACATGTTTAAAAAGGATGTGCAGTGTAAATGCAAAATGATACCTGTTCAGATTAAATGAAAATGTATGCTTCAGCCATGGAATGGATGGAGCGATCTGTGGTTCTGAAAGCATACAGAAAAAAAAGAATAATGTTACTTCTCTATAAAACACATAACATAGAAAAACCAAGAAATATGTAACATGACATACACATCCTTATAAAAAGCTAGTACTATAATTTGATTTAGGTTTACCAAACAGTCTACAGACCAGCCATTAGCGACTAAGTTTGGCATAGGGTCAGTTTTTTGCTGTTAAAATCAAAATTTCTTCAGAAAATGCACATTTTTCAGAGCCGCGCCTGAAAGTCAATTGAAGGAATTAGTCTTATGTCATTGATCTTACATGCTGGCTTGTTATTTCTGTCTCTAAATCATGCACATTAATAATTATCTTTTGCGCTCGGTGTACACACACATAACACACAGATATTTATATGAAGAGAGACAGAGACAAACGTGCGCGCACAAACACAAGCTTGTGTCTAGAAACCGCGAGCTCACCAGAAAAATTCAAACGAAGCGGAGCACGGAGTTATACTATGAATGTTATGAACTATGAATCAGAATCAGAATCAGAATCAGAATGGGGTTTATTGCCAGATGTTGAGGTTTACAACATTAGGAAATTGCTGCGGTGCTTCAGTGCAAACAATAAGAATTAAAGTGCTATGTAGAAAGAAAGATATGAAAGAAAGATATGTGCATGAGATATACATGAGATATATACATGAGAATACATGAGAATAAGAATTATGAGTGCTTATGAACTTAAGCTAGCTAGCTAGCTGTATCCACCACCACCATTGTGGTAACGCTAGCCAGTTAGTATACTGGTAAAAAACGGCTTTTTGCCTAACTTGCATTCCCGACTGTGATGGTCGGTTGCTGGTAACCAGTTCTAACGTCGCGCCGGATAGCTAGCTAGCTTGTAGCTAGCAGCTACCATCATTTGGGGTTGTCTGTCGACCCAGCTTAAATGGGGTTATTTTCTGCAATTTTGGCAATACAAATTATAAAAGCTTTTGTAACACACTTGGCTTTACTTACGTTTATTTTCAGATGAAATTAATCAAAGATGTGACACGATGTTTCCAGCAGCCATGCAGAATAAAAATTGGTCCCGGTCTATTTCTGGTGGGCGTGTTCAAGTGCAAATCACTTTGACTCAAATTAAAGATATTATCTGTTCAACATGAAAAGTAATATATGTTTTGAGAGAAATCAAAAACTTTGCGTTGTGTCCTTTGTACAGATATTTAGTTTCATCCAAATCAAAAGTGGTATTTTAAAATGCAAAAAGAAAGGGTTTCACAATCAAATCAATGATTTTATTCTGTTTTGAATGGCACTTATTAAATTGAATGAATGACTGCATGTTAGACTTTTTACAGTGTACAACTTTTCCTCCATTCAGTCTTTCAGCAGGTAATAGGACACTTTCCATCTTTCCATCTACTTAAGTTGGCCGAGATTCACCTCAGAAACTGTGCTTTTATTCACTTAGCAGACAGTGTGATTCATAAAGAGGTAGATTACGGTATACTGTGAGTCATGCCCAACCACCAACCACAGCTCATATTTCAAGATCATTCATGTTCCTTTTAGTCAAAGAGAACATGAACACTGAAGTTTTCCTCTGCCTAAAATTACAATTACACGTCATGAACTTGGAGTGTATGACATGTTTCTCCCAGAAGGTAAGCACATAAAACGTATGTCATCCAGTTTTTATAGCCTGAATAAACTCCATCACGGCTGAGCAAGCATCTAAACTTATATTTGTATTCTTTCACAAAGTCATTTATCATTAGGCTGACTAACTAGCTCCTGCTTTGGGGGAAAACTGAATTGTGTCATTAAATGTAGAAGAAATTTGAAAACTCAAGGAAATTACCACAGAGCTATGCCCTGTGGCTTATGTAATGATTGCTATGTTCAGAGTGTTAGCATGCTGACATTTAATAATCAAAGTCATACAGAAATTACAATTGTTGATTGGAACTGATTTTGAAACTTTTTGACAACTTTTTTGGTTTTAGCTTTTCGGTTGTACTTAAGGAAGCCTGCCATCACATGATCACTACTGGTATTTATCCCATAGGGAACATTACATCTGCTCCAATTGTCATTTAAATTCACCCATCACCTCATGGGGCTACTCATCCTGTTCCAAGTAAGCCAAACAGCGAAGTCTAACTTCTAACCTTAACCAATAGTCAATTGGTGGCATCACACCCAAAAGGTGGATTAAGTTGTAAAATCGAGAGGAAGACAGAGAAGCAGATGGTAGTTCCTACTGCCAGTGGACAGTAGCTTCGCCAAAAGATGGAAAGGGTTTCGATTGATTTGAATCTCCTTCAAGTGCCCATTAACAGTAAAATATGTTGTGCATCATTTGGCCACAATAACTAGGTACTGTGTCCTTGAATATGATTATTAAATTTTCCACTTTGTACAGGGGTACACTCATTTTAAGGGTAATCTGTGTCTGTTGTTTATTTGTGTTACTAAGTTTACCTCAAAATTCCGGTCACTTCACATCTATGCGTGATCAGATAACCCCTGAGACTTTCTCCCTGATGTCAGCATTTCCTTTTTCACTTAATGTCTGTCTTTTTGTCAGGTGGTTTTCTCATTTACCCACAGCACACCTGCCAAAGAACACAAAAAAAGATTTCATCCATCAAACCAGAGCAGAGTGGAACATCCAAGCACGGAGAACTGAGCCCCCAGAGAGACTGTCATCCTCAAGTTACCATGCTGAACATAACTCTAGGTCTGGACATAGAAAGGCAGATGAAAGCTAGAGACAGAGGAAGTCAGCGAGCCAATGGACAAGTGTCAGGAAAACAAAAAGATTGGAACTGAGGGTAAATTTTCAAACAGTAAAATAAAACGTGTGGTAACCACACAACAAACAAAGCCCAAACAAGATAGTTTCACCACTTCAAACCAGATTAATATCTTATTTTCAGAGAGAAACACTTATTAGTTATAGAATAGATTATCATAGACAAAGAGCTGTATTTAAAGTTTTCTGGACAGCATATTTTATCTGTGCCACCGAGTTATACTTCAGTGTTTAAAAAAAATAGATATATTATGTAACATTGCTATGGATAATGTTTGTTTGCTTTATATTGCAGTTTTACAGTTTCCATGTCTGCATGTCTATGTGAGAGTCTGCTTGGGAACTTTATGTGTGGTTCCATACAGACATTCACATACCCGCCAATTTGTTGTAACCCTATGGACAGTTGGGCAACCTTGGTAGTTTTAATTCAATTCAATTCAATTCAATTTTATTTATATAGCGCCAAATCACAACAAGTCGCCTCAAGGCCCTCCATAGATACAGAGAAAAACCCAACTATCATATGACCCCCTATGAGCAAGCACTTTGGCAAGTGGGAAGGAAAAACTCCCTTTTAACAGGAAGAAACCTCCGGCAGAACCAGGCTCAGGGAGGGGCGGCCATCTGCTGCGACCGGTTGGGTGAGAGAAGGAAGACAGGATAAAAGACATGCTGTGGAAGAGAGACAGAGGTTAATAACAGATATGATTCAATGCAGAGAGGTCTATTAATACATAGTGAGTGAGAAAGGTGACTGGAAAGGAAAAACTCAATGCATCATGGGAATCCCCCGGCAGCCTACGTCTATTGCAGCATAACTAAGGGAGGATTCAGGGTCACCTGGTCCAGCCCTAACTATATGCTTTAGCAAAAAGGAAAGTTTTAAGCCTAATCTTAAAGTAGAGATAGTGTCTGTCTCCCGAATCCAAACTGGAAGCTGGTTCCACAGAAGAGGGGCCTGAAAACTGAAGGCTCTCCCTCCCATTCTACTTTTAAATACTCTAGGAACAACAAGTAAGCCGCGAGAGCTTACTTGAAATGATGTCAGTCCACTTCCTCTAATGATTACTGAGGTTGATTCCAAAGTAAGCCAGGCCCAGTAGACCATCTAAAATATGTCTATTAAAACATGAAAAAAAAGCATTACTTTTGTACTTTTTAAAAATAACATAGCCATCTTATCTGGATACCGTAAGACTTCAATTTAGAGGCATGGTTTTCTGTTGCGCTGTGGGGGAAGTCACAAACTTTGTGCTTTAGTTTTGGTGTGCAAAAGTCTAGTATTTTATTAGTACCAGGTGTATTCAAAGCATTTACTCGACCATTTTCTAATATTTTTGCATGCATTGTCGAGCATGTATAGTGCTAGCAATGTAGAAAGGCTTGCGTTAAAATTAGAAATTTACATAGGGAACATCATCCTGTCACCTTCATGACAGTCTGAGACCACATTCAGAATCTGAGCTACGCCTGAGCCAGTGTGCTCTACCTGATAATTATTTTTTCTTTAGTTTAGGGGAGTTTTTCCCACGTTTTATCTGTTAGTGGATTGCTTTATTTGTATCTCAGCTTGTGTTGTCCCCTCACTTTGTATCAGTCTTTGAAAGTCTGACAATTTAGAAACACTTCCAAACAAGTTTTGTCATCACAGTGTTCACTACTTTGTGTAAAAGGTCAGATTTCACTGAGTTGTTCCATTAAATTATCTTCACCTATTACAAAGTTTTGCCTCGATTTCCACCAGAAAAAGAAAAAAGAAAAAAAAAACGTAATTCTTTTACAGACTGTAAAAGAATTTCTCAGACTGTAATGGGGTTTTTTTCAGTCTACAGCCAACAGCAAGGCAGGACCATGCCCGTTCAGTTCGGTATAGTGTCTCATAAAACTTGCACTCCACCATATGTTTGCTGCGGAGGAAAAACCATAAAGGATATTTTCATTGTCACTAGGTAATCCTCGGCCCCCATCCCTATGACCATACCAGACATTTACAACTTGTGCCTCACCTGCCTACAATATTCATCTACCGTATGTGACTGTTAATAATTTGTGAACTCAGCTATGCCAGACTGAAAGAGGATGCAGGGTTGTTACTTGTAGCTCAGAGAACCTGATATTTCCATTGTCTCACAGCAGCTCTGTTTGACATTTTGCAGGAGGACCAGGAGACCTAGAGGACCTGGGTTACACAGAAGCTGCAAATCTTTGTGTTTGTTTTAATCTGCACTCACTGCCAGATGACTGAACTATAGATCAGACTTTTACTTCACTTAAAATATGTCATGTGCGAGATAATGTCCCTTGGGAAGACTAGAGTGAATATCGCATCAGTCAAATGACTACATTAAAGCAGAATTCCAACATTTTGTGACACGGGAATCTAACACAGTATTTGTAGATGCCTAAAACATCCATCAGTAGAAATAAACTGCAAGTTTATAATTGAAAGCCAAGTGTGTTTGTTTGTTTTTTCCTTTTCATATATATCTATTTCTGTTTTTGTGTGGTTTTATTGTGGGCAAAGTGGATCTGCAGAATCACTTGGTTCTGGGCCATAGTGAACCAGGGGACCACGGAACTAGAAGAACATGAATGCAAAGACTGAATAGCTCTCCTACGAATACGCTACTATAAATTTTGTCAATCGAGTCTTGTTCTAAGGCAGGGGTGGGGAACTCCAGGCCTCAAGGGCCGGTGTCCTGTGGGTTTTAGATATCACCCTGGGTCAACATACCTGAATCAAATATACAGTGGGGCAAAAAAGTATTTAGTCAGCCACCGATTGTGCAAGTTCCCCCACCTAAAATGATGACAGAGGT